GTATATAAAATCATGAGTGATGTGGAGAAAGTGAATAAAGAAATGTTATGTACTTGTTCCCATAATATAAGAACTAGGGGCCACCAAATGAAATTAATGGGCAGCAGGCTTAAAACAAATAAAAGGAAGTTCTTCACACAGCGCACAGTCAACCTGTGGAACTCCTTGCCTAAGGAGGTTGTGAAGGCTAGGACTATAACAGGGTTTAAAAGAGAACTAGATAAATTCATGGCGGTTAAGTCCATTAATGGCTATTAGCCAGGATGGTAAGGAATGGTGTCCCTAGCCTCTATTTGTCAGAGGGTGGAGATGGATGGCAGGAGAGAGATCACTTGATCATTACCTGTTAGGTTCACTCCCTCTGGGGCACCTGGCATTGGCCACTGTCGGGAGACAGGATACTGGGCTGGATGGACCTTTGGTCTGACCCAGTATGGCCATTCTTATATTCTTAAAATGCTAGTGGGAAACTTGTGTCCCTTTGTAAACAAAGTAGAAACGTTTAACAATATTTCAGCATAACAATTTTAACCACAACAAAGTAATAAAAATATTTACAGAACTACTCCCTACTCCCTAGATTAATTTTTTATAACCTATAACCTTAAAATAGCAGTCTAGTCTAATTATAAGTTCCAAATTACTTTCAGCAACGTGTCTGCAGACTGTAAGAGCATTAATCCTTTTAATTAAAATCTCAAGCATGTAGCAGATTTTAGTATCTGAGTTACTCAGAGAAATTCATATCTAATGTCAGTGGGCCCAACTCTATTGATTGTAACAGAGTTGCACCCATTTACATGAGTAAGAATTCTGTTAATTGTTTTCAAAGATTAGTGTTGTTCCCCCAAAAATGTCAGAGACGAGATTTATGAAACATCCGAGTTATGTACAAATAGATACTTACTGCCCTCTAAATAGAAATGTCATAGAAAACAACACAAACCCTGAAGAATGAGGATGAAAGGAAAAGGCTTGCAAAATATAATTAAGAATAATTTACACATCTATAATTCTTTTCATCTGAGGATCTTAAGGTGCTTAGCAATCATTAGTAAATAATACCCAATAATACTCCTGTGAAATAGGAAATATTATACCCATCCTACAGATGGAAAAGCTGGAGAGAGTCTGAATGACCTGCCCAGGGATATAGAATGACTCAGTGAAAGAGCTGGGAATAGAACCTAGAACCCCTGCTTACCAACTGTCCCATGATTTGATCCCTAGAGAATGATCCCTCCAGGAATTATATCAAAATTAAGCATTACTGTAGCTATATTAGTCCCAGGATAGAAAGACAAGGTGGGTGAGGGTAATATCTTTTATTGGTTCAACTTCTGTTGGTGAAAGAGACAAGCTTTCAAGCTACACACAGCTCTTCCAAAGAAGTTGGTCCAATAAAAGATATTACCTCATTCACCCTGTCTCACAAAAGTTTAACACGACTTTAAGATAAGGACATAGAACTTCATTATCCCTAGGAAATGGAATTAAGCGTCCGAACTTGCAGTTCACTAACCTTCCAGAAGCAATAATATCAATGACTGAAAACAACTATCTTGAAGGAGAGCTAATACACAGGACATTTCTGCAGAGGCTTACTGTTTGCTAAATACCAGATTAAGGAAACACCTAAAGGCTGGAGATTTTAAATGAGGAAAATTACCTACTAAATAATTCATGAACACAGAGCAATTTTTTGCCTTACAGGATGAAGCTGAAATGCCTAACAGTTTTAGTCTGAGAGGAGAAAGACAGTTTAATAAGACTTATATACCTGAGAAGAATAAAGAGAGGAGACCATGTACAATTTAAGTGATTAATGAATCCACCAGGGAAACTTTTTACTACTGCATCTTGCCAAGAATCTCTATTACTTTAAAATGTAAAAGAAAATCTTATGAGTGGATGCCTTTCTTAGTTTAACCAAAACCCATTAGATGTGATTAAAGGGAACACATGACTTCCGAAGGAACAACAAATGGTCTAGATGAAAGACAAAAGGCATTGTGGTGATGTTAATGTAATACTTGTGGATGTATTTGATGGTTATTAATGGGCTGGGATGAAGCTGTCTATAGGAGCTGTCAATAGAGACAAGCCCACGAAAGGGATGTTAGGATCTTTGCCCTGTCTTATCTTATGTACAGCCCTTGTTATTAAGGGCTTGATCCTGCAAGGTGCTGAGCACTCTGGTGCCAATCCAGCAAATCACTTAAACAAGTGCTTTAACTTTGTGCTTAAAGATGAGTCAGAGCCTGAATGCTCAGTGCCTGGCAGGCTCAAGCCCTAGAGGAATAAAGGAAAAGCATATATAAATCTAATTCCAGACAGGATTTCCCAAGAGAAGATAGATGTTAATGCCTGTTTATTTAAGTTTAATTCATATTGTAGGAAAAGATCCAGAAAGGAAGATTAAAAAAAGAGAATCTGGTGGGAGCGTGAGGGATCTCAGAGTCCTGTGCTTGGGAATCCATCCTGGGGACAAAGGACAGACTAGAAAAGCAAAAGTGGATGCCTGAGACATGTCTCAACAAGTACTTTCAGCAAGAAGCATAAACAGTGCAAGGCAAAAGGAAAGCCCCTCCATTAATATGTGGACCCCAATCTGGTATTTACACAAAATTACTTGGATTTGGGTGGGAGCTCAGAATAAGAAGTGGAGAGAGAGAGAAAGAGAGGTTTTATAAATGTACCACTGAGTACAAGGTCCTGGTCTTAGTAGGACTAGTCACCATCTCAGTGTATTGATGTTCACAGAATTTTTCTTTATCATCATTCATACAATAGTATCTACCACCTAATGCATCACTGACAATTACAGTCAATGCACACAAATATGGTACAATACAATGGTAGTATTTTGATGTCCCATTTAATTCCTCATATGGAAAGTTCTGTGTGTTTTACACAAATTAATAAATTTAGCCTGACAACACCACTGTAATTTATATAATTATTATTCCTATTTTACAGATGAAGAAACAGAGATAGACACATTAAGTGACTTCATCAGGATAACACAGAAAGTTTGTAAGGAACAAAACCCATGTCTTCTGACCCTCATCATGAGTTTGAACCATACATGGATCCTTTCTCCCCAAAATTCTAACATAGCATATGGATATCATCTATAGGTGTGTATAATCTTATTTCGGGGAAAATGTCTGGAAACATGGAAAAACAGAAGGCTCAAGGAGCAGGATTATACCAAGAAACTACGTGATTTAGGTAGAGGGGGAGAAAGAACCTGTGTCACTGCTGTTATCTGACCATTACTGATTCTCTCAGTATTAGAAAGACTTTGACAAGCTTGGTAGTAAACTTGGCTGATCCTCTGGTAGCAGTGAAAGCTCAGAAATAGATCATCATGGAATGATGCACCAACCAAACCTCTTAGAAGGTGCTTGAGGGGGAATGTTTCTTCTTCTTCTTTAGTGCAGATTTAAATGGAATAGAATAGTTCAGCAGATATATGTCCTATGTTTGCACTTAGGAAATGTAGGACGCCTAGAGGGATAATAATAAACTTTACAATGTCAGAGGTCTGTTAAACCACTTTTCCTGTTCTGCTCTATATTGAGTCATAATTTCAACAATAAACTACAAATTAAGCACTCTTCTTAACAATTTTTAAACAAAAACATATTTGTAAAATGTGACAGTAAAGGAACTTCTCTAGAGAAACTGGAAAAAGTGGTTCCAGATTTGACGCAGCCAGTGGGAAAAAGGAAGTCAGGGTGAGCTATTAAATATTACACATACCCTCAGACTCAGGCATGAGAGGCTCATCCATGGACACTTGTGTCTTAAATTTTAATCTGTGGCAGGGAAAGTTATTGGATTCAAATGCCTCAACATTTGCAGGATAAAGATGGGTAGCTGTGTGAATTTGATTGATGTTGGGATAAAAAGCTCCCAGACTTTGTTACTGTGACGCAGTAGGGAGCAGGGCGGATTGACCTGGGAATGTCATCCAGTTTTACTGGGACTGTTTGCATTGGGGATGGGAGAGCAGGGGATGACTTTATTTGAGGGATGATACCTGAGCCTGTAACCTGAGCCAGAAGGGGGGTGGGGCCAGGTGACACCTTTGCCCAGGAAACTGGACAAAGGCGAGAGGAGGAGCCGGGGGGGAGGGGAGTGAGTCAGCTGGAGGGGGTTTCAGTTTTGGGCTGGCTGGGAAGATGCAGGGAACCCCAGGTCTGGGGTCTAAGCTCCTTGCCTCCCCAGAGGGACCTGGCTGAGGGATCCTGGTTGTACCTACAGGCCCTGCCTGGGACTGTGTTCCTGTCATCTAATAAACCTTCTGACTGGCTGAGAGTCATGGTGAATCTCAGGAAGTGAGGGTGTAGGGCCCTGACTCCCCCACACTCCATGACAGTTACCTCTAGGTCACTGGTTTAGATCTAGCCCTAACTGGTGGTTGTTACCATCTGATGGCACTTCAGTGGTGTCAATGATCATAGTACAGAATCCAAGTGCTATATTCTGAAAAAAAGCCATAGACATCATGGGCACTCTTTTTGACAGCCTCAAAGAGGTCAAACATTGAACAGGAATGGAGACTGTTATTTCCATAAGCAGACCCCCCAGAATCCAGTTGAAATACTAAGGCACTGGTGGGGCAAGTGTGGGGAAATTTGCATGACTGCTTCTCATTCTATGGTGGTTCTATGCATAAACTGAGGACTTCGATTTCCTGGGCTAGAAAATTGGCATCTTTTGCAATTATTGAATTGTCCTGATAAAATAAAAATGAAAAATAGAAATTAATCTTAATTTTCAAAAAGTGTCAAAAGTGTCTCTATTGTCACAATAAACAGAATAGAATATTCTACTTCTTTCACATTTGAAACTTACAACCTTCCATCAAGTTTCGTATCTACTATTACAAGGTTGTATATGGTACTATAAAGGAATCAAATTTAGATAAATCAATGCTAAAATGGAAAATAAAACCACAACTCATCTTGATAAATATAAAATAGACCTACCTCTTTGCTTTCCTCTAGATCTGACTCGCTGCTAAACTCTTCTGTATTTAAATTTTCAAAATCTGATTCCCCAACAGCAATTGGTACTGTCACAGTGAGGCTTGGATTGTTTATGAATGACATGTAATCACTTTCATCGACGACATATTTTTCCACGCTGCTGCCTACGCCACTGGTAGTTCCATTCCTATCCTTAAGATAGTTAAGGTCTTTACCTATTTCTATGACAGTATGGTTGGAAATACAGCTGTCTTTTTTGTTGTTTAGATCTTCAAGAGGCTTGATTTCATCTAAAGCTTTCTGTTTTCTAACAAAGGCTTTTTGGATGAATTCATGTGCTTTTCTTTTCACATAATCTATTCCCTTCTGAATCCTTGCCACTGCAATTTGGAGATTGTTCATTTCATTATCATCATCTGTAGCCGCAAGGTTGTCTGAACTAAATGAGCTCAGCAGTAAGGCCAGAAAGAGGTTGAGTACCTAAAAGACAGTAAGTAGAAAACATAGCTGATGTCTTATTTTTTAAGTGATGACAGTAATTACTTTATGGCATTTTTAATGACATAATTTTTACTTCACGATTAGCGGTAATATCAAACTATCTGAAGGCCATTCTTCCTAGTCTATTCCTGCTGTATTGTACTATTTCTTGCCAACAGCATTTCAGGTTGCAAATCCCCACAAAATGCACTTGGCTAGATGACAATTAAGAAAACCCATGTCCCAGAAGTTGAGCCCCACGCTGTATGAGCTCTTTGCACAATAGTGTGCATGGGACAGGTGAAGGCATGTGTAGAGAGGCTGCGAGAGGGTGGCAGTAGACCCACTCTCTGCCCTGAAGAGGGGCTATAAAGGACTCACAGAGGCTACTCCAGCCATTAGGACGCAGTTGTGCAGTCATTCTGCAGCATGGGGATGAGATAATTTCTTCCTCCCCTCTCCCACCATACATCTACCCAGCTTCTTAGGATGGATACTTAGCAAACCGTTGACCTTTACTATTTAAATAAATATGACAATCAGAAAAATAATATTCAATAAATGCTACAGAAATAAATACTCATACAATGTAATATATTGTGTTGAGTGTTCTAAGCCTAAAGAGTTATCTCTGAGCATGTGTGTTCTGAGTGCTCGGAGCCTGAGTCATTTGAGATAATTACTTACAGGTCCTAATGGTCTAGCCAATCCACAAGCAAGGGTCTAACCAGGTGACCCCATGGCAGGTATATAAGATCCTAATGAAAGTAGCAACTCCAGTCTGCTCCGTGTCACTACCTTGTTGGGGATGCTCCCTGCTACCTGATGTAATGACAGAGACTACTCCTGCTCCAGCCTGAGTCTACTACTGCTCAACCTACAGCCAGTCACACGGCTGTCCTGACATACACATACACTACACATACCATACAGACAGAGTATTCCTAGTATAGGCTGCTGTATCTAAATCAATAAGAAATGTGTGAAAGAGTGTTCACAGAGCCATCAATTCACATTCCAGGTTCAATTATGATATGAACATGTCTTATTTTGATTAAAATATGAAATGAATTTGGATAGTTTAAATTTTAAAAAGTTGGCCCTTAACGCCCGTTAGTTCACCTCAGTTAAAATTAAAAGCATATTTTATCACATAAGGCATCATTTTTTTGCAAAATAAATTAGGTACATACCACTAGGTTTCCAATCACCATGACCATCATGAAAACAATAAGGCACATGGCTTGCCCCGCAACCTCCATACAATCCCACATAGTCTCTATCCATTCTCCACATAGTACTCGGAACACAATCAAGAAAGAGTGGAAGAAGTCATGCATGTGCCAGCGTGGAAGTTCACAGTCATTGGAGATCTTGCAGACACATTCCTTGTAGCTTTTACCAAACAGCTGCATACCAACCACAGCAAAAATGAAGACAATGATGGCCAGCACCAAGGTCAAATTTCCCAAAGCCCCCACTGAGTTACCAATAATCTTTATCAGCATATTCAGTGTTGGCCAAGATTTTGCCAACTTGAAAACTCGAAGCTGAAAAACAAGAGCAAAGGAACACTGTTACTGATGCTGCTAATTATAATGAAATTATCATAACTGTAAAATGTCTCATTTAATTGTTATAACCTTTAGTCACCACATTTATGTTTTCATAGAAGCTGGCCACGAAGGCTTAGCAGGTTTCTACAATAAGGCATGTACAGACTGAAGTCCTAATTCAAGTCCCTAGCAGCCAAAAAAATGTAGCCTTTCACTACGGGCTTCAGTTAGTGAAATGCCACAGAATGCCACAGAACATCAGACTGTGCCTTTTTCTGTAACCACAGAAAAAAAAGAGAACCACTCTGTTGGGATCAGTAGCACTACAATGAACATGCTCATCGTGTCCACTGATTTTCTCAAGGATATAGCTCCCATAGACAAAGTGCAGATGACTGGTTGCTAACAAGCTACATAGAACCAAAAAGACAATGGGCCAAATTCATCCTTGGGATAAATCACTGAAATCAGTGGAATTATCTCAGGGATGACTTGGGCCCTATGCCCTTTAAAAAATTTATAATATAAAAATACATTTTGCTTTCAGTTCAATGAAAGAGAATATTCACTAACAGCATATATATATATAGGAGGGGGATTTGTCATCTGGGAAGAAGCCCCCAGATGTTATAAGAGGAGTGTTGGTAAAATTTTCAAAAGCACCCAAGTGACTTAGGATCCTAAATCCCACTTTCAAAAGTGATTTAGACATGTAAGATCCTACATTTCATTGAAAGTCAATGGGACTAAGGCTCTGAAGTGCCTAAATCCCTTTTGAAAATGGGACTTAGGCACTTTTGAAAATTTTACCCTGTCTCATTAAAACCACCTGAGAAAAAGATTTTGTCTCCTTTCTTCCCCCAAGTTCACTTCCTCCGGTCACAGAGATCATCCTGGTGGGAAAGTACTGGATGTAATTGCTGCTAGAATGCATCATTGATGCTCCTGCAGTTGTTTTTCAGTGATGGTTAGGTCTGGGTGGACCTCACAAGTTTGGAAGGTTTCCTTCAAAGAAGGATGATAGAGTTACAATGTTTATTCCAATTGCATGAAATTCCTTTTTTGGTTTCAACCAGGCCTGCAACCAACGGTGTATTTTAGTATTTCCTCTTGGCTGAAATGCAGAGGAGCAAATGCATATAAATTAAACAAACAAACACTTGTGGTTTTTTTTTAAATCAAACCTCAAAAAAGTTCTGGTTGGGATTATTTCAGGAATTGGGCTAATGGTATTTGTTATTTCATTTGAATTGGTTCATACATTTCTAGTGGTACCACAAACAGTACTGCCAATCTGAAGCATTCACAAATTATTAATCTGCTTAAAAAACATGAGATTGGCTTAAAAATAATTAGATTTTTTTTAAAAAAATGGTAGATTGTTTTTATTTGTCTTCTGCTTTCTGAGCTGTTAGGATACATTCAGTTCATATTTTCAAGCTTTTCTCCACAACACTGAGAGCTAGAAACTTACTTTTACTTATTTAAATGAAAGATAAATTCTTCCAGTATCACTTGATTCCATGAGCTGGAGTTTCAAGAAAAACATTAAGTTCTATGCGACTTGTGATATAATCATGAGAGCTGGCAGCAATGCACAAGTTAAATACTGACCAACTCAGCTTCTTTGAGCTAAATTTATTGAACCTTCTTGAGAAGATTCATAGTATCCCTGATTTCACTGGTAATAATGGCAGTATGCAAATATTCATCATGAAAGATGTTATACACGAGGAAGGATGTTAATTACATTATATTTGCTACCTGACAAGATTCTAATTAAAGTTGCCAAAGTAATTTAATTTGGCAACCTATTTACAGAGCAAGATCTGAGCTCCCCAAATTCTCTCACTGAGGGTGATCAGCACCTTAGTTTGTTTTTTTCCAGGAATTATTTTGTTCAAGAGACACCGTAAGGTAGAATAAGCCCCAGATGTATAATGTATTAATTTTAGAATAAAATGGTTTTGCAAAACTTAATAGCCCAAATCCCGAAATCCCTATTCATTCTTTACTGCCATTGAATACAATTAGTTTTACCTAAGTAAAAAAGCCAGGATTTGGCTCAGTATTAATATAAATATTTTCATGATTTAAAAACAGTTACAACCAGTTTTTGATAGGACCGAAGCATTTTCCTGCACTGTTTACAACCCAAACAGTATAGCATTGTGTTATTGTACAAAGATCTGGATATAAAACTAAGTAGAAACAAAAATTAAACTAACCAGACTATTTTCACTGGTGAAGTGAATAAGAAATTTCTTACTCTATCATTTTGTTTCTGTTCGCTACGTCTCTCCTCATTTATCACTAATGGATAACACCTCCCTCCTATGGAATATGGAGGCAGTTCAATATTGTTGCTAGAGGCTATTTAACTCGGGCCACCAGAAAAGTTCTTCTAAATAGAACTCTAGCAACTGATTATTAGCATTAAGACACAACTTGATAGACTATATAAATAACATTAAGGTAATTATATATCCAACTCTTGATTCAGAGGAAAATGTCAATTGTAATAAATTGTATTTCAGTAATTTACCAGACTATCAAGGTGAGCTGAATGAGGAGAGAAGCTACTAGCAGAAAGAAAATTATCAGGTAAGAAATTTCTCATTCTCCTGCACACCTTCTCTCCTCATTCATCACTAATGGGATGTAGCAAGAAGTGAATCACAGAGGAAAGGAAAGGGTAAGCAGAGTTTTAATTATTATTGGAGTAGAATAACAGACAGACATAGAAGTTTCCCCCATACAGAGCAAGATTTTTTTTAATTTAAGGAATTATTTGGGAACCAACCCAACAACACCTTCCTAGTACCAATGGAAACCTGTTTCACAAATCTTCCTCAGATGAGGCTCAAACACTTTTTCCCACAATGCCAATAGAGACTGTGTAGAGGGAACCTTGAGTACTACTCCATAATTAGGTCCCAGATGCCTTACATGCCAACTGGTGCTAAGGATGGAAACAAAATTATGAAAGAACTATTTCCCAGGCATTGTGGAAAGAAGAACTTAGCTTGAACAGAAAGATTTCTGTAGCTACAAGAATAACCTTTTCCTCACAACAACAGCAATGTGGTTCTTATATGGATCAGTGGTTCTCAAACTGTGGGTCGGGACCCCAAAGTGGGTCACGAGGTTGTCAGGGCTGGCTTAGACTTGCTGGGGTGGAAGCTGAAGCCTGAGCCCCACCACCTGGGGCCAAAGCTGAAACCCAAGGGGTTCAGCCCTGGATAGTAGGGCTCAGGTTACAAGTCCCCTGCCTGGGGCCGAAGCCCTTGGGGGGTGGTGGTGGGACTTGGGTGGGCTCAGGCTTTGATTCCCCCCTCCTGGGGTCATGTAGTAATTTTTGTTGTCAGAAGGGGGTCGCGGTGCAATGAAGTTTGAGATGGACCTATCCTCCATGAACTTATCTAGTTCTTTTTTGAACCCTGTTAATAGTCTTGGCCTTCACAACATCCTCTGGCAAAGAGTACCACAGATTGACTATGTGTTATGTGAAGAAATATTTCCTTTTGTTTGTTTTAAACCTGTTGCCTATTAATTTTTAAACTTGTTGCCTATTAATTTATAAACCTGTTGCCTATTAATTTTATTTGGTGACCCCTAGGTCTTGTGTTATGAGAAGAAGTACATAACACTTCCTTATTTACTTTTTCTACACCAATCATGATTTTATAGACTTCTATCATATCTCCTCTGACTCGTCTCTTTTCCAAGCTGAAAAGTCCCTATCTTATCTTATCTTATCGCTCCTCATATGGAAGCTGTTCTATACCCCTACTTTTCTGTACCTTTTCCAATTCCAATATATGTTTTTTGAGATGGGGCAACCAGATCTGCATGCAATATTCAAGATGTGGGCATACCATGGATTTATATTAGAGGAAATATAATATTTTCTGTCTTATTATCTACCCCTTTCCTAATGATTCCCAACATTGTTAGCTTTTTTGACCACCGCTGCACATTGAGTAGATGTTTCAAAGAAATAACCACAAAGACTCAAAGATCTCTTTCTTGAGTGATAACAGCTAATTTAGACCCCATCATTTTATCTGTATAGTTGGGATTGTGTTTTCCAATGTACATTATTTTGCATTTATCAACATTGAATTTCATCTGCCATTTTGGTGCTCAGTCACCCAGTTTTCTGAGATCCCTTTGTAACTCTTCACAGTCTGCTTTGGATGTAACTCTCTTGAGTAGTTTTATATCATCTGCAAATTTTACTACCTCACTGTTTACCCCTTTACCCAGATCATTTATGAATATGTTGAACAGGACTGGTCCCAGTACAGACTCCTGGGGGACACCACTATTTACCTCTCTCCA